ATGGATATAGAGAATGTTTTGATAGTTGTTAGATGGGAGTGGGGAGGGAAAGGATGGGTGAAGAGGTGAAGGGACTAAGGAGCACAAATAGGTAGTTACAGAACAGCCACAGGGATGTAAAGTACAGTATCGGCAATAGAGCAGCCAAAGAACTTCCACGCATGACCCATGGACCCTTGGTGTGAGGATTGCCCGAGGGAATGGGGCTGCTGGTGGGTGGCTGGGGCAAAGGTGGCAAAATCAGGACAACTGTAACAGCATAATCAATAAAATATAATTTAAAAAATTAGGAGCAGTTTATAAGCAAATCCCCCACAGGCTGGCAAGTCAGAACAAGTGTTGTAGGGAAACTGAGACTGTTGAACAAACTGGCCGATTTATAGCCAGATATGGAAGGTCATCTCCCTAGAGGTAACATCCAGGCCTCAGTTGTATTTCAGCTCCAGAAAAGCAGGAAAACAAGGTCGGCAATGCCAGGACCAGCTGCAGTGACTAGTGACCCTCTTCCCTGACACCCAGCCAGTTGGCGGTGGGAGACCCTGAAAGAGCACACCTGGAAAACAGGTAGATATTCTGCTCAAATCCTCCCTTGAGACTGTAACCAAACAAAAAACAGAGGTTTGGCTACCTGTCGTCATGAAAGCCAAACTTGTGAGGCTGATGCTGGTACAAAAGGAAGCGGTTTTATTCGGGTGCTGCAGGACCTGGGAGAATGGCAGACTCCTCTCTCAAAGACCATCTCCTGTTTCTGCTGTGGAAAAAGTCCACTGTCCTCAGTAAGGCCAAGACAAAAGCCAGTGTCCAGGGGCCCTGCTATACTGTAAAGTACAGTCCAGGCATGCCAAGCAGTCTCAGTCCCCATCCAGGTCGCTTAGCTTGTTCCTGGCTGCTGTCCACTGCAGGCTCCCTCCTGGAGCCTGGTGTGGAGCCTGCACGGCCATGGGTCGTGCAGCTGCCAGGGCCTCAAGATTGCTTGCTCCCAGGTAAGAGAGCGCGCAAACGCACTGGCAAGTGCATCACCAGTCGGGCAAGGGAGTGAGAGAGGCTCCTTCCTGGAGGCCAGGGCCCATGTGGCTGCCAAGGCCACATGGCCCATGGAGAGAACAGATGCTCACACCCTGTGAGTGCAGGTCACGAGCAAGAGAGAGGGACAGATTCTTTGTTCTCCTGGGATTATGTTAGTTTGGATGTGGGATGGACAAGGTGCTTTTTCAAAATGCCCAGTCAACTCCCCAAACTTCTGTGCACTTCGTTTGGGTGGGTCCACCTCCCAACCTGTCCCCTGCTTCCCCAGGTTAGACCAACAGGCCTCCATGGTCCAGTGCCTCCCCCCAGTAACTCAAGGACCTTCAACTGATGTATCTTCCGAGCCCTGGGTATATAAAACGTGTGTGGGATGCTCTGCTGAGAGCCGCGAGGTGCCTGGCAGCCGCCATGTCCACACAGCTGCATGCCAACAACCGCCTGGGTCCTGTGGGACGCGGGAGGCACAGCGCCACCTGCCTCCCGGTGTTTGGGAGGGAGGTTATTTTACTGGTTGTCACAAGGACTGGGGGATGTACTGGTATTTGGTTTCCAGGGATCCATGCTGCCATGGCAAAGCGTATCTTCCCAAAGTGGCTGTAATAACACGTCCTGACATGCTCTTCCTGGACCTGACCACTCTCCAGTGAGAAGTGGAGTCCACACCCCTCCCTTTGCCACGGGCAGGCCTTTGTGACCACAGACATGGCATTGCTAAGGGACTCCCGAGGCCACGCTGCAACGGAAGATCCTGCTCTGCCGGATTCTCTCTGATGCGTGCCAGGAGTCAAGTCCAGCGGTGTGCGGCTCAACGGTGAACAGCTAGCTCTCCAGGGGGAAGGAAGTCTAGGTCTGTAAGTTTGCTGACTTCTCTGGTGTAAATATACTGACCACAGCTGACTGCAAACTACCAGCGTGAAGTGCCTGAATGGTAGGAAGAGTTGCCCCAAATCCACATGCGCTGGTGGGAACTGCCCCAGCACACCGCCGCCTGGGTCACCCCTGAAATCCAGTTGCCCTGAAGTCCGCACTGGAGAGACCACGGCAGGACAGCAAGAAGCGCCTGGAGCGCCCCAGCTGCTTGGCTTCAGTCCCAGGCGCTGGATAAGCTGCCAGATGACCCAGCTCCAGCCATGGTCTACTGTTAGCGGCCTGTGAGGACTGCTTAGCTGGGCCAAGTCACGCTCCATAAAAAAATAATAATAACACAATAAAGGTTTAAGTCACTGGGTTCTGAGTGGCCTGTTATGCAGCACTGGCTGAGTGGAAAGAGGCTCAGTGACCTGCGTTGTAGGGGACTGGTACCCCCACAGACAACTGGCCTGCCCCCAGTGCCAGGGGCCCCGACTGTAAACGTACACCAAACCGGATTCAAATCCTGACTCGCCGCTTTCAATCTGTGTGAACTGGGGCCAAAACAAAAATCTCCCATGAGCCTCGTACACGTGATTCAGGAACAACTTGTTGTTTTGTTTTTAAATGGTGTTATTTTAAAAAACTGACTGCTGGTTTTTTTTTAAATGATCAGAAATTTTTCCTTTTTTAAAAAATTTTCTTACTTTTAGAGACAGGGGAAGGGAAAGAGAAAGAGAGGGAGAGAAACATCAATGTGTGAGAGATACATTGATCAGCTGCCTATCACACACCCCCAACTGGGGACCAGACCCACAACCCAGGCATGTGCCCTGACTGGGAATCGAACCGGTGACCTTTTGGTTCACAGGCCAGTGCTCACCAGCCAGGGCAGAAATCTTTCTTTTTTGTTGTTCTTACTAGTTGCCTATTTTATGGGCAACATTTAAAAAATTGTGGTCAAGTTCACATAACAAAGTTTACTATCTTGACCATCCTTAACTGTGCAGGTCAGTGGTACTAAGTTCATTTATAATGTGTGTGCTACCATCTCCAGAAGCCTTTCCATCTTTCGAAACGGCAATTCCCATAGCTCCTTCCCTTCTGCCCCCAATAACCACTGTTACGCTATTTCTGGTCTTGACTAAGTAATCCATGTAAGACAAATCAGTGTTTGTCCTTTTGTAACTGGCCTATTGCACTTAGCATGGCCCGTCCATGTTGCAACAAGTGTCAGGATTTCCTTCCTTTTTATGGCAGAGTAATATTCCATTGTAAGCATATCCTGTTCTGCTTATTCATTTATCTGCTGATAGACAGTGGTTGCTTCCATGTTTTAGCTATTCTGACTACTGGTATTTTTGTTGGTGTAATACCTTTATATCACTTTACTTAAAAGTCTAGAATATTTTTTTTTAAAGATCTTATTTTCTTATTTTTAGAGAGAGAGGAAGGGAGGGAGAAAGAGAGGGAGAGAAACATCAATGTGTGATTGCCTCTCATGGCCCCCACTGGGGACCTGGCCTGCAACCCAGGCAATGTGCCCTAACTGGGGATTGAACCAGAGAGCCTTTGGTTCACAGCCCATGCTCAGTCCACTGAGCTACACCAACCAGGGCTGGAATGTTTTGCATCTTGAGTATGACTCAATGATTTATTTCACGATGAATTTATGTGCTGAGCACCAACAAGAACTTCTCTGCTAAAAGACATTCAGGCAGCAAATTTCAAACTGGGCAGAGGTGAGGGCTGGCTATGTGTGCACATTTACTTATAAAAATTCATCAGACTGTACCTTTGTACATTCTATAAAAGGTATGAACAATAACAGTAAAATGAGATGCTAGCCCATAGAAACGAACAAAAGATGTTCAAAAACCTCTCCCCAAAGCTATATAAGATAGGACAATTTTAAAATGATTAAACTCAAGCAAACTATTTACAGTTCCCTTACCTGGCTTCTCAGCGGTTCCTCAAATTGTGTAGGGTCAGACCGTTTTACGGTGACTGGAAAATTGTACACAAAAATATGTCCGTGTCTCAGCGAAGACGCCCTTGGCCCCGCTCTCCTCAGGAGCACGCCCGCACCTTTCCCTTCTCCCTCTTCTCCCCCGGCCCGTTTACCTGGGCCTTTCTCTCTCCTAAGCTCCAAGGGCCCTTCTTTTGCCTCTAACTTTTTCCTGAGTCCAGGCAGCCCAGCTGGCTCACTTCTACTACCTCCCTAACTTTCTAAAGTTTCTCTTGTAATTTGACCTCCCACCCCGCCCCAAAAGACACCATTGACAATGGTGTATTTGTTTGCTGGAGGTGATACTTACAATGACCATCGTTTATTTATTTTTTGTGGCTCTGGGGACTACAGGGCTCAGCTAAGCAGTTCCTAGGGCTGCGTGCAGTTGCCCTCGGGCAGAGGGTTGGGGCCGTGTCCTCTGAAGGCTTGTTCAGTCCTACATCTAACACCTGGGATTGGGAGACTCAACGATCCGGGCTCCTCAGCCATTTCTCTACCTCCACATGGTCTCTCCAGCTAGGCCATACTTGTTCCAGAGTGTACACTCTTGACAAAGATCCAGTAATACAATTTGAGCCCTGGCTCGGTGTCCTAGTTGGTTGGAGCGCTGTTGTGTACACCAAAATGTTGCAGCTTTTATTCCTGGTCAGGGTACATACTAAGCTGTGGGTTTGATCCCCAGTCAGGACATGAGCAGGAGGCAACCGATTGATGCTTCTCCCTCACATTGCTGTTTCTCTCTTTCTCCCGCACCCCCTCACCTTCCTCTCTCTTTAAAAAATCAGTAAATATGCTCTGCTGGTGTGGCTCAGTGGACTGAGTGCTGGCCTGTGAACCAAAGGGTCCGAGGTTCCGTTCCCAGTCAGGGCACATGCCTGGGTTGCAGGCCAAGCCCCAAGTAGGGGGTGGACCAGGGGCAACCACACACTGATGTTTCTCTCCCTCTCTTCCTCCCCTCCCCTCTCTCCAAAAATAAATAAATTAAAAAAAATCAATACATATGCCCTTGGGTGAGGATTCAAAAATAATAATACAATTTCATTTTCAAGGCTCATGATTCATTAAACTTTCACTTTTTACTTCACTAATTTTATTAATCTTTATTAATTCTAGCAACTTTATAGATGTTAAAATTTTATCAGCTGTTATTAGAATAATGTATAACTCAGATATTTATCAATGTAATTGTACTTGATGTGATATTTCCACACTTTAGTACTTAAAATGTCATTTCACTAACTTTTTAAAAAAGATTTTATTTATTTCTTTTTAGAGAGAGGGGAAGACAGGGAGAGAGAGAGAAACATTGACGTGTGAGAGTCAAATCGCTGGGCTGCTTGTTGCTCATGTCCCGATTGGGGACTCAGCCCGCAACCCAGACATGTGCCCTGACCAGGGATCGAACTGGTGACCCTTTGCTTTGTGGGACAATGCCCGGCTGAGCCACACTAGTCAGGGCTCATTCCACTACCTTTATTTTGTTTTAGGAATTTGGAAGACTGAACAAACTGTTACTATGAATAGTACTATGTCAGTATCAGGGCCAAAAAAAAAAAAAAATACGGGCGTTATCATTGTGCCCTGTTCTTAGGAATGTTTGTTCACTGCATAATTATTTCAGTTTTCTTATTTTATTTTATTTATCTTTAGAGAGGAAGGGAAGGAGAGAGGGAGAGAAACATCAATGTATGGTTGCCTTTCGTGCATCCCCTGCTGGGAACTGGCCTGCAACCCAGGCATGTGTCCTGGCTGGGAATCGAACCACAATTGTGTGGTTCGTAGGCCTGCACTCAATCCACTGAGCTACACCAGCCAGGGCTCAACTTTCTTTATGCTCGACAAGTTTCATAATAAAACCATGAGGGTAAAAAGGTCCAGTTGGCAAAGATTCAATATCCATAAAGCCTCTTGGGACCCTCTGGCGAGGGCAGAATCTGAGGGTTTCTAGGACCTGGGCTACTGTCCCCAACTGGGCTGGTGGTGGTCAAGAGCTCCCACTATAGAGGCCAATCATCTGGGTTCAAATCCTGGTTCTGCCTCTTCTGGGACAGGCAGTCTCTCAGGTATGTTGCTGACGTCTGAATCTTATCTGTAATACGGGGATGACTACTTCCCTACCTCAAAGGATTGACAAAGGTAGTGAAGGACAAATACCCGCCAGCCTGCCCAGGTCTCAAGGAATAAGACCCAATGGTAATAAAACAACAAATAGTTTTAGCTCCTTGGATGCAGATTCGATCATCTAAAAGAATTAGGAACCTGTGGTGAGATGCCCTCTGGGGATTCCCCGTGAGGGGAGGGAAACTGGGAGAGGGGAGCGGATACCCCAGCTCTGCCAACTATCCGCGGCGCCCCTCTTGAGCTTGAGCTCCTGGGGGAGAATCCCTGGGCAGGCCACCAAGCCAGGGTGCAGCGACCCTGCTGGAGACCTGTTCACCGGCGTCTGTCGGCTTCTGGGCGCATTTCTGCCGTGTGAGTGAGCACCTGCCGTCTTTCCATTGACGTTTGCACGGGAGTCCTCTGTTTCCCAGAACGAAGCTTTAAAAATGAAAATACCTTTATCGGTGTATTCTTTACATCCAGTAAAATGCATACATTTCAAGTGCGTACTTAAAATTTTAACAACAGTATACAGTGTGTGACCATCACGACCAAAGTACAGAGCATGTCACTCAAAAGTGTTTACCCCTTTGCTGTCAACCCCAACCCCCACTCCGAGGCAACCACTAATCTGCTTTCTGTCACTATAAGTTCGATTTTCTTTTCCTAGAATTTTATATAAACGGAGTCATATGGTGTGCCATTTATCGATTTACTGCCTCACAGCCCCAAGTTGCTGAACTGGAGTTTGGCCCTTAGGATCTCCCCCCTTTACTGGCTGACGTGATGTTAACTTTCTCCAGTAGGGGGAGCCCGAGAGACGTTGCAGGAGGAAAGGGTTTTTGCCTGGAGCTGCCAGACCCGGTTCCCCAGGGCAAGCAGCTTCTCCAGTGCTAGTAGTCAGCAGCGCCCGGCACACAGTCAGCTCCTTCCCCAGGCACCTCAGGTGGTTCCAGGCACTTCCTGTGAGCTGCTTTCGCCAGCATCCCAGAGAATTGGCTTCTGTTAAGTTCCAGAGGGTGGATTTCCAGCAGGTTCCACAGGAGCAGCACCACACAGAATCCTTTGCCCTTTAGTGAGTCGGGGCCGAGTGTTTTCCAATGAGATGAGGGTCCCCAAACCATCAAGGACAGCTCAGGACTGTCCTCTGTTTTGAGCTGCCTGTCTTAGATCTTAGGGTTAGTGGCTGCTCTTTTGATCTGCTGTTTCTACATTCTCTGGCATTCATTCTCTTTATTTCTTAGTAGCTAACCCCTTACTCCAATCCCCTGCTATAGCATTCTCTCTTCAAATTACTGTGTGGGTTCAGTCTCCTGACTGGACCCTGACTGATTAAATATATCATATGCTTCCTGTGTCTTTTTCCCTTCAGTACACTGTCTGCATGATGCAGCCACACTGTTGCAGGTGTCAGTCAGTGGTGCATGCCTTGTCATTGCTCAGTAGTATTCCATTGAACTGCTATGCAGCAGCCTGTTCTGCACTCACCGTGGTGGACATCTGGGTTGTTTCCCATTTGAGGTGATTATGAATAAAGCTGCTATGAACATTCATACACAAGGTTTATGTGGACATATGTTTTTCTTTCTTTTTTTTAACTGTTAATATTTTTTATTTTCTAAATTTCCTATTTTTATCACTAAGATCTTTTAAAAAAATTTTTATTGATTATGCCATTACAGTTGTTCTATTTCCTCCCCTTCATTCCCCTCCACCCTGCACACCCCTCCCCCACCATTTCCCCCTTTAATTTATGACCATGTGTCTCAAGTTCTTTAGATTTTATATTTCCCATACTATTCTTGCCCTCCCCCCTATTTTCTACCTACCATCTATGCCACTTATTTTCTGTACCTTCTCCCCCCTTCTCCTCCTCCCACTCCCCTGTGGCTAACTCTCCGTGAGATTTTCATTTCTATGGTTCTACTCCTGATCTAGCTGTCCTCTTAGTTTGCTTTTGTTTTAGGTGTGGTTGTTAATAACTGTGAGTTTGCTGTCCTTTCACTGTTCACATTTTTTATCTTCTTTTTCTTAGATAAGTCCCTTTAACATTTCATATAATAAGGGCTTGGTGATGATGAACTCCTTGAATTTGATCTTATCTGAGAAGCACTTTATCTGTCCTTCCATTGTAAAGGAAAGCTTTGCTGGATAGAGCAATCTTGGATGTAGGTCTTTGGCTTTTGTGACTTGGAATACTTCTTTCCAGCCCCTTCTTGCCTGTAACTTGTCTTTTGAGCTGACAGTCTGTCAAATGGGAACTCCTTTGTAGGTGACTGTCCCCTTAGCTCTTGCTGCTTCTAGGATTCTCTCCTTCATTTTTATCTTGGCTAATGTAATTATGATGTGCCTTAGTGTGTTCCTTCTTGGGTCCAACTTCTTTGGAACTCTCTGAGCTTCCTGGATTTCCTGGAAGTCTATTTCCTTTGCCGGATTGGGGAAATTCTCCTTTATTATTTGTTCAAATAAGTTTTCCACTGGTGGCTGTTCCTCTTCCCCTTCTGGCACCCCTATAATTTGGATGTTGGAGCGTTTAAAGATGTCCTGGATGTTCCTTAGCCTCTCCTCATTTTTTTGAATTCTGTTTCTTCATATTTTTCTGTTTGGTTGTTTCTTTCTTCCTTCTGGTCCAGTCCCTTGATTTGAGTCCCAGTTTCCTTTCCATCACTATTGGTTTCCTGTGCATTTCCCTTCATTTCAATCAGTTTAGCCTTCATATGTTCCTCCCATTTGTAACTGAAATCAACCAGTTCTGTGAGCATCCTGATCACCAGTATTTTGAACTGTGCATCTGAAAGTTTGGCTATTTCTTGGTCACTTAGAGTTATGGGCTCTGGGACTTTGAGTTCTTCTTGAGCCATGTTTAGTCTATTTGCGCCTGTTACATATGAGGAGTGGAGCCTTAGGTGTTCACCAGGGCGGGGCCACTCAGGTCGCTGGGATGTGACGTTGTATGTGGGGGCGGTCAGAGAGGGGCAATAGTGGTCCCCTCTGCTGCTTCCCGCTGCTGGGGCCTGCGTAGTCTGTCTCACTGCTCACAACCCCACATCTGGGGATTCGCCAACCACAGACTGCCCACGCCTGGGCTGGTCTGGCTGATTTTTCCTGTGCAACCCCGCTCCGCCAGCCGCTGGCTCCGTCCCTCTTACTGGTCTGGCTGAAGGGCTCGTTGTTGTCGGACTTCGGTATAGTTCAATTTTCTGTGTTTTGGTTGCGCCTTTTTTTTTACTAAAGCTTTGTTGTCTTTAAACTTGGTTGTGCGAGAAGGCACAGTGTTTCCACCTACGTCTCCATCTTGGTGGAAGTCCTGTTTTTATTTCTTATGAGAAAATGCCTGCGAGTGAAATTCTTGGATCACATGATATGTGTATATTTCACTTGACAAAAAAACCACCAAAACAAACCCACCAATAGTTCTGATTGTGCCACTTACATTCTCATCAATTACACATGACAGTTGCCTTTGCCAGCAGCACCTGGTATTATCAATCTTTTACATTTTAGGCAGAGTGACTTCCTTTTCATACCTCTGGGAGGTTTTCCTCTACCTGACATTCTCCCTTATTCACGGTAACTCTTTGCTTTTGAATGGTAGTGCCTGTATTGTGTCTAACCTGTTTCCTTACATAAAAATCATCAGTAAGACAGGATTAAAATCCTTCGATCTTCGGAACTATTTATGCATTCAAAGAGTCAGTGTGGCTCCGCCCTTTAAGAAAGCTGAAAGAGCTGCTGATAATCAGGACCCGTACTGGCCTCCATGAGCCTTCGGGTCGGTGTTTAAAAAGGCAGCCCTTCTGGGTGAATGCAGCCCTGGATCTGGGCTTCCGCCCCCCGCCCCCCAGCTAGTCTCATAATAATAAGGGCTCGGAAGTGTCTGCTCCTGCCCAGGTGCTCTCAAACAGTATCCCAGGAGTCCCAAGTTCAAATGCCTACAAGAGACAGGCTGTATTCTAAATGAGGCTGACTAGGTGGGAGGAACAGGGAGTGGTGGAGACTCTGGCAAGTCAGAACAGCCCACCTGGATGCTGTGACATACTCACTCTGCCTGATTTACTGCCACAAAGGAAGGTGGGCCAGTTTGGCCACATCTTCCAGTTTTTTGAAAGAAACAGGCAGTTCCAGTTTTTATGTCAAATCACCCAATTTTAATTTTTATTTATTTTTAAAAAGATTTTATTTATTTATCCTTAGAGGGGAAGGGAAGGAGAGAGGGAGAGAACTATCAATGTATGGTTGCCTCTCGTGCATCCCCTGCTGGGAACTGGCCTGCAACCCAGGCATGTGCCCTGACTGGGAATCGAACCTCAATCCTTTGGTTCCCAGCCCCGCGCTCAATCCACTGAGAAATCACCCAATTTTTAAATGTTAACAATGCATTAAAAAAAAATTACAGCACAGTATGGGCCAGATAAGACACCTACAGACCGAGGGGTACACTGGGGCGGCTGCTCTGTGACTTCTGTATTATCCCGGTTGATCTTCACAGAGGAAGAAACTGAGGCCCAGAGAGGTGACATGACCCACAGAAGGCCACACAGCAATCCACACTGCAGTGGGGCCTGGGTCTGGGCCGTCTCCTCTCCCTCGCAAAGGGCCTTCTCTCTATATTCAGTAAAGAAGTTAAAAAGCAGGAAGTGAACGGACGGAAGACCATCAACCAAAGAAGAAAGGCTGATGTATTTCTGAAAGATGGAGAGCAGGCGGAAGTGTGGGGGTTAGGACAGAACTCAAGGTGGGGACGATGGAACCTCGGGGACCCCCAGAGGCCCTGGACCCAAAGCCAGGGGTTCAAGAGGCCTCGGCTGGGGCAGGCACGCAGCCCAGCAGGGAGAGGGCAGGGTGCGGGCAGAGGTTCGTCACCATTGCAAAAACCGTGCTTCCTGGCTCCCTGATTCCTCTTTCTTCCCTCATGCTCTGCCACACAGATCTCAGGCTGATAAATATTCACACACAGGAAAACAAAACAGTACCGAATGACTCTTGTCCAGAGAAATCCCATGGAGCGTCTGGGAGGTGCCAGGGCTGCTATTCCTGAGCACAGCCCTCCCCATCCTGGCATCTGGGAATGAACTCCCAGCAAAGACGGACTCTCTCCCGGCCAGTGAGTGCGTCTCCAAGCAGGGTCTCAGCCACCCCCCCACGGGGAGCAGCACACCTGCGGGACGCCAAGGCTGCATTCATAACATAGCACCGGATCTCACGGCAGTGACTCTAAAAAATGTCACCCGGCCTGAAAAGGCATCATAATTCTATCTGACACTTTAGAAAAGACAAACTATAGGGACGGAGAGCAAATCTACAGTTGCGAGATGTGAGGGCTTGGTGTGTAATTATAAAGGGAGCTTTTTTTGGAGTAACGGAATATTTATGTCTCCCGACTGTGGTGGTGGCTACATAAAAAAAATGAGTTAAAATTCATAAAACTGAGAGAAAATCATAGAACTGTATCATCCTTGCCCAAGAAGTCAACTTTACTGTATGATAATTAAAAAAAATAAATAAGTACTCTGTTAAATTAAAAAAAAAAGTCATCTGGCTCCTTGTTTGAAAATGTGATCGGACAAGCAAGGGTAACCAGATGTTTGGAAAAAACTAGCAGCCTGGAAAAGAAATTTTTTTTAGATTTTTTATTTATTCATTTCTAGAGAGGAGGAGAAAGAAAAAAAGAGAAACATGGATGTGCAAGAGATCCATCCATTGGTTGCCTTTCAGATGCTCTCAACCAAGGACCTGGCCCACCACCCAGGCATGTGCCCTGGCTGGGAATTGAACCGGTGACCCTTAGGTTCATAGGCTGGCACTCAATCCCCTGAGCCACACCAGCCAGGGCTGAAAGAGAAATATCAAGATAAACAGACAAAGCTAAAGTGAACGGGCCCTGGAGGAAACAGACAATTCAGAGGCCCGAATAGAACTTGAAGGAAAAGGAAAAACCCTCATCAGTGCATGTAAGGCCGGCTTCAGGCTTCAGGGGCCTGCGTGGTCACACACGGGCCCCCACTTAGAAGGGATCCACGCTGGTTTTAATGCTCTGCTGTTGCCAACATAAAATTCTTGTTCAAAAAAATTCTTACCTGAGAATATGTTTATTGACTTTAGAAAAAGAGGAAGGGAGAGAGAGAAACATTGATGTGAGAGAGAAATATCCAGTGGCCTCCTGTATGCGCCTGACTGGGGATCAAACCTGCAACCTTTTGGTGTATGGGATGGCGCTCCAACCAATTGAGCCACCCAGCCAGGACTCAACTTGAAATTCTTAATCATTAAAAAAAAAAATTACTGGTTTCAGCCCTGGCTGGTGTAGCTCAGTGGACTGAGCACGGGCCTGTGAAGCAAAGGGTCACTGGTTCCATTCCCAGTCAGGGCACATGCCTGGGTTGCAGGCCAGGTCCCCAGTGGGGGGCACATGAGAGGCAACCACACATTGATGTTTCCCTCCCACTCTTTCTCCTTCCCATCCCCTCTCTATAAAAATAAATCAATAATACATATATTTTTAAAGTCACTAAAAATTTACTGATTTTAGAGAGAGAGAGGGAGGAAGGAAGGAAGGAGGGGGGTAAAGAGAGACAGACAGACAGACATCAGTGTGTTGTTCCACTTTTTTATGCACTTGTTGTTTGTGCCCTGACTGGTGATGGAACCCACACCCTGGCATACAGGGATGACGCTCTGACCAACCGTGCTGCCTGGCCAGGGCAAAACCCTTACTCGTTTTGGAACAAGACGCCTGCCTTTTCATTCTGCATTGGGCCCTGAAGGTTACGGAGCTGGTCCTGGATACACTTAGATTTGAGAAGATACTCAGAACAAGCACAGGACGTTAGAAAAGGAAGAATACGTTCGAGAAGGAAAAAATTCCAGGAAATAGCTTAGATGCATTAGTAACAGGAAAATGCTTCTCTCAAAAAGGGAAAAACTAAAGCTATGAGAAACTGCAGGATAAGCAAAAAACTGGCTAAGGAATCATGGACCAAACATGATACACACCAGCCCGTATCGGTATCCTGTCCCTCTGACAAAATGCGAGAAAAGGAGTCCACTGACCCGAGGGCTAGGGGCGTTCTCCTTACAGTACCCCATTGATTAGTTTTCATTGCGAAAAGACTGTTTAAAAAAAAGAGCCCTGGCTGGCGTGGCTCAGTGGATTGAGCGCCAGCCTGCGAACCAAAGGGCTGCCAGTTCGATTCCCAGGCAGGGCACATACCTGGGTTGCGGGCCGGGTCCCCAGTAGGGATGCTCAAGAGGCAACCACACACTGATGTTTCTTGCCCTCTCTTCCCCTCTCTCTAAAAATAAATCAATAAAATTCTAACAAAAGAGATATAATTGACATGTAACATTGTGTAAATTTAAGGTATACAACGTACTGATTTAATATATTTATATATTGCAATATGATCACCCCTGTAGCGTTAGGTCACCTCTATCCAGTCACATGTTATCAGTTCTTTTTGTGGTGAGAACCTTTATGATCTGGTCTCTTAGTATGAAGACTGTCTTTTCAACAAATGGTGCTGGTGCAGAGAGGGGAACCCTCATGCACTGTTGGTGGGAATGCAGACTGGCGCAGCCGCTGAGCAGAGCAGTGTGGAGGTATCTCAACAAATTAAAAATGGATCTGCCTTTTGACCCAGCAATCCCCTTACGGGAACATATCCAAAAAAACGAAACCCGAAACACTAATTTGAAAGAACATAAGTACCCCAATGTTCACTGCAGCATTATTTACAGTAGCCAAGATATGGAAGCAGCCCAAGTGTCCATCAGTAGATGAGTGGATACAACAACTACGGGACATTTACACAGTGCAATATTACTTGGCCGTGAAAAAGAAAACTTTACCCTTTGCAACAGCGTGGATGGACCTGGAGAACATTATGCTGAGTGAAATGAGCTAGTTAGAGAAAGACAAATACCATATGATCTCACACACATGTGAAATCTAATGAACAAACTGAACTAACATGCAAAATAGAGACGGACTCACAGACAGAGAGCAGGCTGGCAGCTCTGGGGTGGGGGTGGGGGTGGGGGTGGAGGGATGGAGCAAAAAGGAAAAAGGGACCCAAGGACATGGATGACAGTGTGGTGATTCCTGGGGGGAGGGGGATATAAGGGGGATAAAGGGTAATGGAAAAATACAATAAAAAAGGGGAAATATAAAACACACAAAACAAATGGTGCTAGGAAACCTACATGCAAAAAGGTGAGTTTGGGCCTTTACCTCACACCGTACACAAATATCAATTCAATATGAATCACAGACCTAAGGGTAAGTCTTTAAAATTAGAAGAAAACAGGAGAAAACCTCATGATTTAGGGTTAGGTAAAGATTTCTTAGATACAACACCGAGGTATAATTCATCAAAGAAAAACATGGATTAACTAAACATCATCAAAATTGAAAACTTTTGTACTTCAAAAGACACCTTTAAGAAAATGAAAAGACTGGCTATAGATTGGCAGAAAATATTTGTAAATCATATATCTATAAAGGACTTGTATCTATAATATATAATATAAAGAACACTTAAAATTCAATAATAAGACAAACAACCAACTAAAAAATGGACAAAGGATTTGAACAGACATTTCACCAATGAAGATATACAAGTTAATAAGCACATGAAAAGATGCACCTTGGCTGGTGTAGCTCAGTGGATTGAGCGCGGGCCTGTGAACCAAAGGATCTCGGTTCAATTCCCAGTCAGGGCACATGCCTGGGTTGCAGGCCAGTTCCCAGCAGGGGACACACGAGAGGCAACCATACATTGATATTTCTCTCCCTCTCTCCTTCCCCTCTAAAGATAAATAAATAAAATCTTTAAAAAAAGGATGTTCAACATCATCATTCATTACGGAAATGCAAACTAAAATCAAAATGAGACACCACTTCACGCTCACTTAGAATGGCTAACCTTCAAAAGGCCGGTGAGGAGGCGCAGAGACTGGAACCCTCACATCGCACCCAGCTGCCGGAAATGCACAATGGCACGGCCACTTCGGACCACAGGTAGGCAGTTATTTTAAAAGCTGAATATTAAAAACAAGAGTGAAACATAAACTTAACCTGAAATCCAGCAATTTTCCTGCTGGGCTACCTACCCAAGAGAAATGAAAGCCCGTGTCCACACAGACTTGATTGTAGGTGCTCACAGCGGCATTATAAACTTGGAAACAACCCACATGTCCGTCGACTGGTGGGTGGATAAATAAAGTGCAGTCTATCTGTACAATGGAATATTGTTGTTCAGTAGCATGAGGAGTAAAATACTGGTCCATGCTACAGTCCGAATGAACTCCCAGAGAGTAGCCATGCTAGGTTAGAGAAGCCACATACTGTATGATGTGGTCACGTGAAACATCCAGAAAAGAATGCACCTAAAGATACAGAAAGGAGGTTAGTAGTTGCCTGAGGCTGGGCATGGGAACAGAGAGTGACCATAGCTAGACACAAGGGACATTTGAGAGGCAACAGAAATGCTTCAAAGTCGTGGTGATGGCGGCACAACTCTGGGAATTCACTAAAAATCATGGAAGTGTGCACTTAAATGGGCTGAATTTCACGGTATGTAAATTACACCTCAATAAAGCTGTCCAAACCCCAGCCCCCGCAGATTTGACAGTGAAAGCATGGGAGGCCCACATATGGTGTCAGAACAGACTGTAGATGTTATCAGCCTTGACAGTGTGCGGCAAGGAACCACATAACCGACAGAAGATGGGAAATGAAGGGTGGGGGGAGGGGAAGCCAAGATGTTGGGCTCCGCTACTTTCTATCATCATGGCAATCACAAGCTGTCAGAATAAAAAAGAGAGCAGCGAGGCATAAAATGCAAAGTTGCAAAGGTAAATAAGAAACGATCTAAAAAAGTACAATTATTAAACCTCGATGGAGTGGTGAAGCAGGGAGAGACGCGGCGGGCAATGCTGTCTTTCCCAGCAGACGGGAATGGATTTGGAATTTCTCTCTGTTTCTCTGCATTTCACTGTCATTGCCCTCTCACTGCCCAGCTGCCCTCTGGGCCACAGCGTGGGTGAAGTGGAAGCAGAGTCCCTTTGGCTTTTTGGCATACTCTAATTTAAATGTAATGGACATCATGTGTGATGAAGACCGAGGCCTGGCCTCGGACAAATGTTAGCTGCCACGGTGACCCTGTTACTATGATCAGCAGTAGTTAAGGTCCGGCTGCGGGTCGTGGCGTGGGCACCCCTATGTGCGGGGCTGTGTGGCCACTGGAACCCTGACTGGAGGATGTGGGCTAAGGGGACACAGGCTCAGGAAGTGATGGGATGAGACAGGGCAGAACACTGAAGTGTGCCAGTGGCAAGATCAGAGCCATCTGAGGAATTTTCAAAAGGAAAAAGAACACGCCAAGATCAAAACCCACCTCTAGAAAGAAAGAGTACAAGGAGGGCCGACAGCTCTGAGGATGGAAACGGCAGTCATTCGCAGGTGGGCAGACTATGGTAGTTAAGAAAAACCCTTCACAAAATACAAACAGCCACTGTGGACGGTGCACTGACTCTGCTCTGGGCACCAGGAAAGTGCGCACAGAATCTCACAAACCACCCTGAGAGGTAGGGGCCATTTTTCAGCTGGGCAAACTGAGGCTGGGAGGAGGGAGTCAACACACCCTAGGTCGCCAGACATGGGAGAGGCAGAATCAGGATGGGAACCTTGGTGTGTGGGGACGGGTTTGCGCCACTGTGCCTGTATCTTCATCTCTGAGTTTCTGAATTGTCTCTATTTTATGCAAATTTTTACCATGAAAATTTAATCACATTGAAAAGTTGAAAGGTTAGGAAAATGAACACCAATTCTGCCACAGTTTCTTTCACTCTCTCTTTTGATAAACCCTGAAATACTTCCTTGTGTATCTTCCAGAAAAAAGGAAGAGCGGTCTGCAGGTCTGCACTGTGACCCCACTGAACAACCCGCGGGGAGACGCACCCCGCCTCCCAGCAGGCAGCGCGCTCCCCACGCCCCAAGGTCTTTGCCTCCCCCCCCACGAGGTCGGGGCCTCGCGGAGTTGTCTCCCCGTTAATCTAAAACACTGCCCTGCCTTTTCTCTCTAGATTCTATTATTTTTATCATAGTAAAAAAACAAGGCAGACTCACTTCTATTTGATTTGTGAACCATATATCTAAGTTGATAGTATAAAAAATCGTATTTACATAAATATAAATAAAAAACCCAGTTTTTAGGCAGGCTCTTCATCCAGATCTTATAAAAATGGTAATCAACAGATCCAATATATATTCAATGGAACAGCTGAAATAACAGCTTTAAAAAATTATTTAATGTTCCACAAGTAGCCAATAGGGAAACTAAAAGGAATTCTGTGTTTAAGCAGCGGTCCCCAGCCTCTTTGCCGGGCACCCGGTGGGAGTGGCGGTGAGACTGGAAGCCGAGCGGGGCTCCAGCGGCACCGCGAGGGAGGAGGGCAGTTGGGGACCCGGGAGGCGGAGGGAGCTGTGCGGGCCGTGAAAGCTGTTCCCACCTACTTTTAGCAAGGGATTAGTGGACATTGCCTAGAATGTAAACTAAGAAATTTCTTAGGTAAACTAAGAAATAATCCAAGAATTCGCATTAGAGGTTTGAAAATAACTGCCAGAGGACTAAAAAGCAGAAAAAGGATTAAAGCGATGCACCACGGACCACAAGATACTTTTGCCATTTTTGAAAAGTAATTTGATTACGAAAGTTTTTAATTGGCTGCGGGGGCGGGGGGAGGCGCAGCTATTGAAAGGACTGTTACTTTTCCTGCAAAGCTTTGTCTCGTCTTTTGTTTTTGTGTGTTACTGGGACACTTACAAATTGTATTTATTTTAAAAGTAGGTTCATAGTATGGCCGTCTTTCAAAAGGGAGTAAATAAATGCTGTCTAGACTCGCTCTAACAAGATGTGGAGTGTGAAAACACGTGACTGAACAGCAAAACTTAATTTACAAAAACAAAATTTAAGCTGGGAGGAGCGGCCACAGCTAAAGACATACGGTGCCCCAGTTGCCGAATCAAGACGGCGCTCGGAGGCTTGATTGCCAGACCGCACGGGAGCTGCCAGGCCCAAGGACCACCACCCAGGGCTGGTCTTTCGGCCGCTGCGGTGAGCACGTGCGCTGCGGACCTTAGGACCCGGGGCTGAGCGGCGTCCGCGGAGAGGCGGCGGGCGCGCGCGCGCGGGGGCGCCAGAGGACCTCAGTAAAGCGCACGGCGACCTGGGGCTCTCAGACGTGCGCCGTGTGGCTCTGGGCTGAAGGGGACCCAGCTGGCCGCGACAGCCCAGGACGCCGGGGAAGGGTTGCCGAGGTATGGGACTCCCCGGGGTCCTCCCCTCTGGGAAGAGCCAGGGGCTGAAATCCTGCCCCGGGCGCCCCGTCTGAGAATGCGACCTGGACCTGGGGTCCGACCTGGGTCCCTACCTGTCCTGGCGCTCACCTGGCGGTCCGCTCGGAGGCGGCAGCGGGCTAAGGTCCCCTTCCCAACCCAGCTCTGGGAAGCAGCCAGGGGCTCCCCGGAGTCGGCCCCGCCCAAGGAGCCCCGGGACAGCGGCGAGGGCCGTCCTCGGTCCTTTCCTGAGGTTGGTCGCTGAAGATGGGCGCCGGGGCGGGCCGGAGCGACGGAGGGGCGGGATCGGGGAGCGCAGCGGCGCCGCGAGAGGGCGCAGCTGCCTGGTGGCGGGCGGGAAACGCAGCCCCGGCGCTCCGGCACCTGGCGGCCCGCCCCTGAAGGAGCCTACACTTTCCCCACGTGGTCACTCACTGCCCAGCCTCCCCGGCGCCTCCTCCGCGCGAGCTTGCCCTTCTCAGGAGCCCCTCGCCGCGGCAGTGGCCTGGCCGCCCCCCCCCCCGCCAAACTCCTCATTCCAGCGAACTCCTGCAGACGCCTACGCCTTTCAAAACCTGCATCCCACCATCTGTCCGCGGCTGGTAAAGGGCGGGGCTGTGACTCCGATCCTGGGCTCTATGGAAACACTTGGATGAAAATTTCACCCACCCGTAGTTACCGTGTGACCTTAGTGTGGAGTCTCAGAAGCCCGGGCGCCAGGGCAGAACTCGGAACCTTCCTCTTTGGCTACGCCTATAAAAGAGAGTAGCGATGTGGAAACCAAAGAACCAGTTATTGGAGAGATACAATATTAAAACTACTAGTTTTAAAAGTATTTTAACTGCTTCTGGATCAGCAGTTACTATCTTTTCCCAAACTGAAAGTTTCATCTATCGCCGTTTTCTGGGCCATGACCCATAACTAACTGCCCATACATAGCTCTGGCCTGCACTATAATTACCTAGGAGAAATCGAATCTTTATCAGTGGGTTTCAAGTATTCCACGGAAGCTCACAATTCTAACACAGGTTCCCGTTTCTAGAAAGCAGTCCTTGAAATGTGCTATTAACATTCATTACAATTGACAATATGCCTATGGTGATATTATGATTTATAATAAAAATATATATTTGGTTTTCATCCCATTCCTGGCAGTGCACTCCTTAAAACCCTTGGAATTTCTTAAGTGATCATAGCAATAAAAGTCTTTTGTGGTGTTAATGACAGGACACTCGGAAAGACCCCAGATAACCTAAGTTTGGGGGCTGCTTGCCTGGGGGCTCTCGCAAGTGATTAGAGGGTTGGAACTTCCAGGCCCACCCATTCCCCACCCTCACTCCAGAGGAGGGGCGAACGGCTGCAGGTGAAACAGTGGGCCATGATTTAATCAATCGTGACTGTCTAAGGAAGCCTCCTTGAAAATCCAACAGGAACAGGGTTTGGAGAGCTTCCGAGCTGGTGGCCACATGGAGACTTGGGAAGGGCCGCTTGCTCAGAGAGGTTATGGAAGTTCTGAGACCCTGTCCTCATACCTTGCCCTAGGCACCTGGATGTTACCGAGTTATATCCTTTTGTAATAAACCACTGATATAGTCAAGTTAGATAATAACAGGCCCAGGCCTGTTCTTAAATTAAACCTTTCTACCACACATCCTACTTCAAACCTCCCCCCGCCCCATCCCCTAAATTGTAGACAACAGAATCCGAAGGTTCAGTACCAGTGAAAATGGGGCCAGAAGCCAGTTCTCCCTTGGACTTTCAAAGTTCCTTCTGATGGCCCTGGATTGCAGAAGGGACCTCAGGTGACTGATTTTAGAAATCCCAGAGCCAAGTCTTGAATGCCAGGCCTCCCTCAGCGCTTGCTCCCACGGAGGCCTCTCCTGGGAAACTGAGGCCCAGAGATACTTGTGCACGCAGCACAAGTCGTTTGCTTTGGGGGAGGTCACACCATGGGGCAGGATTTGAGCATGGGGTCCCCACATCCCCTCGCAAGCAAGGCACCACAGCGCCCCCCTAAGGACGGCGTGAGATCATGCTCTTGCCGAGTGAACAGTACTTATTAGTTGTACCAACTGCCTTTTGAATCATTTTCTACCTCGGATTGTAAAATGGCAGCATTATTGGTCGTGTTTTTAGTGCAGATGCACACACAGTCCCTTACATGAAAGGTTTAGAGATAGATGGCTTGATTCTTGTTTTTCTTGTTTTGTTTTTCGTTTTTAGAATACTCCAGTGTTCCCAGCAGGGTGGGCAGCGCTCCGTTATCACGTGATACTCCTGCTTCGAAGTCTGTTTAGAGAGGAAAACACAGTTATAAATAATCGGAGGTCAGTCCACTCAGTTCTTACTGCTTAAACAGCGTAGGGAGCTAATTTATGAAGAAAGTTTATGCTTGTGGATGAGATTGTACCCCTCTTAGTGCAGGGATCTTTTAAAAAATTGATTGTGTTATTAAACACTCGCTGTGAATCTGACTACGTAAATACGTAGGTTCACAGGCACTGAACAACTTATTTCAACAAATAATACCTGTGTATTACAGGTAAATTGGGAAAAACACAGGGATCCCCAATGAAATAAATAACGGGTTGGTCGAAGGATGCTAAAGCCACCCATGAAAGGTTGCTGGGGAACAGTTCAGAATCAGCATTTGACGGAAGACTTAGTCATTACAGAGGGAAAACATGTCCTCCTACTGTGTGTGTGGGGTACTTTCTGGCCGACACCCTCTTCTTCAGCGAGCGATCACATAGTGTCCCCATAGTGGGACAGCCTGATACCTTGTCTCTTGATGTGACATTACTGGAAGGGCACAAGATTGCTTATGCAGAATTCTTTTATTTTTTTTAAAGTGAAATCTCCATTTAATAATGAGGAAACAATCTGACATTGACAATAAGGGATATACCCCAAATAACTGGCCAGGACTTCTCAAAAAAAAAGGTCAGCATATGACAAAAAGAAAAAAAAAGCCAATATATGAAAAACAAAAAGAGACCAAGGAGACATAACAACCGCGGACGGTTCACGCACCTTGATTGGGCCCCGAATGGGCCATTGCCTTTGGGTGCGCTCTTGCTCGTTGCTCAGCGCAGGCTTTCTTTTCCTGTTTGGTGTTCTTGCTTGCCATTCTCACAGGAGGGACAAAGCTCGTGTCTGTAGGTGATGGGGGTGTGGTTCCTGTTATAAATGTTGGATTATTTTCCCTCCGAGCTTCTGCCCTGAGTGGGAGCATGAGTGGGAGCCTTGTGCCTGGTGTGGGGCTTGCCCACCGGCAGGTTTCACGTGGGTGGGTAAGAGGCCAGGAGCCCCACTACTGGCTGCCAGAATAGGACTGGCTTTTTTATAAGCCAGCGCCCACCCTACTTACCATTTCAGGTTGTCAGAGAGCTGGATCTCTGTAGGGAACTGCTCTTTAGTCCTTGTTTCCCTGTGTGTGCATGTTGGGTGGCCTGGGCCCTGGGGAACGGGGTGAGAAAGGGTGCAGGAAGAGCGGACAGACATTCTTCCCAGCCTGCCTCAGCTGTCTTTTCTCACTCCTGCCCACTCCCTGCAACCCAGGGAGTGCTGGGCCCCTCTTCTCTGCAGTCCTCTCCAGAATGCAATGACTGCCCGTGATTCATGTCCCCAAGCCTCGACCTGATTTGTCTACTAGAAATAAATGTGTTGGAATCTCTCAAGTGTAGATGGTCTCTAGTGGGCTACACGCCCCCCTCAAATATTCATGCCCTAATCCTTGGAACCCGTGAATGTGACCTTACAGGGCAAAAGGGACTCCGCAGATATTATTGAAGTAAGGATCTTGAGATGGGGAGATTGTCAGAAGCAAGACTGGAGTGATGCGCTTTGAAGATGGAGGCAGGAGCCGCAGCCCAGGAACAGAGGCGGCCCCAAGAAGCTGAAAAGTCCAGGGATCTTCCCTGGGCAGTTCTAGGAGAAACCACCCCAGCCAACACCTTGACTTTAGCCCAGTGAAACTGATTTTGGATGGTAAAAGGATAAATTTTGTTGTTTTAAGTCATTAAGTTTATAACGACTTGTTATAGCAGCAACAGGAAACTGGGACATTTCCCTTTCCAGTCTCTTTATCACTGCCAGCTGATTCCCTTCTCAATTCCATTACTTTATACAGGTAAGAGTGTCTGAGGGTTCTCTGAGGTCTAAGACGGTGGGCTCTGGGGTCAGACTTCTTCTGGTGGCACCTCTGATTCCCGAGAGACCAGTGTTGTCAGTCTCCTTATGGAATGAGGGTCACATTGGACAATATGGAGGTCGGGGCCAGGCAGCCTCCAGTTTATATCACAGATATGTTCTGTTTAGCTTTCAGTGTTTTAAATTTCTCTTTGTATTTATTTTGAATTGGATGACATAGTCATATTGTATAAAATTCTTAATATATGAAAAATGTGTCCAGAGCTAATGTCTTCTGCCACTGCCCTCAACCACCCCGGCTTTCTTTTTTTTCTAATAAAAAATCTGTTGATTGATTTTAGAGAGAGGAAAGGGCAGAGAGAGAGAGAGAGAGAGAGAGAGAGGAAGAGAGATAAACATCAATTTGTTGTTCCCCTATTTATGCATTCACGGGTTGTTGCTTTTCGTACGTGCCCTGACTGGAGATCGCACCCATAACCTTGGTGTGTTGGGCGAAGCTCTGACCAACTGAGCTACCTGGCCAGGGCTCATGACATGTTCTTGCAGAGGTTTTTTTTTTATTCATAGTCAAGGAATTTCACACACACACACACACACTTAAACAGTAACATACCACACACTTCATGCTTGATACTTTGCTTTGGTTGTTTAATGTATTTTGGTGATCTTTCAGTATCACGGTCTAAAGCTTCCTTATTTTTCCTTAGTAGCTGCATAGATCTCAGTTGTACGAAGGTACCTAGCGTTTTCCTTTTGTCCCTTACTGATGGAAATACAAGGTATTACAGTGTTGCCAAACACGATGTGTCATCAGAGTAGACATTTCTGGAAGTGGAACTCCTGGGTCAAAAGTTGTGTGCATGGCTGTAACTGTTAAAAGAAACAGTGGTCACTGTTGCTGAGGACGTGGAGACGTTGGCACCCTTGCACACTGCTTGCACACTGTTTGCACACTGTGGGAGTGTGAAATGGTGCAGCAGCTTTGGAAAGCAGCCTGGTGGGTCCTCAAAAAGTTGAACTTAGAGTTACCATATGAACCACAATTCCACTCCCAGGTATATACTGAAGAGAAATGAAACATATCTCCACACAAAAACCGGTATACAGATGTTCATAGCAGCATTCCTTATACTCGCCAAAAGTTAGAAACAATCAAAATGTCCTTAAATGAATGAGTAAGTAAACATAATGTGGCATATTCATACAATGGGATTATTGGAATGGAATTACTCAGCCCAAAAACAGGTATGAAGTATGCAGATGCATGCTATAACATGGACGAACCTCGAAAACATTATAAGCTAAAGGAGCTGGATACGAAGGGCCATGTCTCGTACTGATTCCATTTATAGAGAATGACAAGGCAAAGTCATAGAGAGAGAAAGCAGGTTAGTGGTTGCCAGGGGCTGGGAGAGTTAGAGAGAATGGAGTGATGAGAATGCTCTGGAATTAGATAGTGGTGGTGATTATATAACATTGTAAATGTACCAGAAACTGCTGATTCATACACTTTAAAATGATTACATTTTTAAAGTATATTTTATTGATTATGCTATTACAGTTGTCCCATTCTTTTTCTCCCTTTTACCCCCTCCACCTGGTACCCCCATTCCCTCAGGATTCCCCCCACTCTCCTTAGTTCGTGTCCATGGGTCGTACATGTAAGTTCTTTGGCTTTTCCATTTCCTATGCTATTCTTAACCTCCCCCTGTCTATTTTGTGCCCACCAATTATGCTTCTTATTCCCTGTACCTTTTCCCCTGTTCTCCTCCCTCTCCCTCCCTGCTGATAACCCTCCATGTGATCCCCATTTCTGTGATTCTGTTCCTGTTCTAGTTGTTTGCTTAGTTCGTTTTTGTTTTTGATTTTTTAGGTTCAGTTGTTGATGGCTGTGAGTTTGTTGTCATTTTACTCTTCATAGTTTTGATCTTCTTCTTTTTCTTAGATAAGTCCCTTTAACATTTCATAGGTTAATGGTTTGGTGATGATGAACTTCTTTAGTTTTTTCTTGTCCAGGAAGCTCTTTATCTGCCCTTCTATTCTAAATGATAGCTTTGCTGGATAGAGTAATCTTGGATGGAGGTCCTCCTTGCCTTTTCATGACTTTGAATGTATCTTTCCAGCCCCTTCTTGCCTGTAAGGTTTCTTTTGAGAAATCAGCTGAGAGTCTTATGAGAACTCCTTTGTAGGTAAGTGTCTCCTTTTCTCTTGCTGCTTTTAAGAGTCTCTCCTTATTTTTCATCTTGGGTAATATAATTATAATGTGCCTTGGTGTGTGCTTCCTTGGGTCCAACTTCTTTGGGACTCTCTGAGCTTCCTGGACTTGTATGTCTATTTCCTTCAACAGATTTGGAAAGTTTTCTTTCATTATTTTTTCAAATAAATTTCCAATTTCTTGCTCTTCCTCTTCTCCCTTTGGCATCCCTGTGATTCAGATGTTGGAACATTTAGAGTTGTCCCAGAGGTTCCTAAGCCTCTCCTCATTTTTTTCGAATTCTTGTTTCTTCATTGTGTTCTGGTTGAATGTATATTTCTTCCTTTTGTTCCAAATTGTTGATTCCAGTCCTGGTTTCCTCCCCTTCACTGTTAGTTCCCAATATATTTTTCTCTGTTTCACTTTGCTTAGCCTTCACTTCTTCCTTTATTTAGTGGCCATACTCAATCATTCCTGTGAACATCCTGATTACCAGAGTTTTAAACTCTGCATCTGATAGGTGGGCTATCTTCTTGTTGCTTAGTTCTTTTTCTGGAGTTTTGATCTGTTCTTTCATTTGGGCCATATTTCTTTGTCTTGGCTCACCTGTTATGTTGTAAGGGGCGGAGCCTTACATATTTGTCAGGGCGGGAAAACCCACTTCAATGCTTTGTGGCTCTGTATGTGGGGGAAGGGTCAAAGAGGGAACAATGCCACTTGCTCAACTCTTGCCCTGCTTTCAAGAGACTGGCAGTTTCTCCTGCCACCATAACCCCCACAGATTTTTACAGCCAGAGGTTTTGAGGTTTTATTTCCCCACACTGGAGCTCTCAGTTGCATGGTCTGTCTTGCTCCCCAGTTGTTCCTCCTGGTTTATCTGCATATGAATGTGGGACCACCCAGTCTGCCAGCCACCAACCTCCCATGCCTCTTCTCTCTGGCTTGTCTCCACCCCTTCTACCAGTCTGACTGAATATTTCT